CCCAATCCATTACAAAACACAAAAGACCAAATCAGGAGACAAGGATTAAACATGTCTTTTGTCTTGGTGTGAAAATCATTCAAAACCATCCCCCCACACATCCCTTTGTCCCATGGCCCAATTCCTCCCCCCAAACATCCCCCAAAATCATTCCTCACACCTATAATAAGGCCAAAGGAATAAACAATCAATCCCTTGCCGTGTCACATACCTTACTTTGCATAAATGGACAAAAGGACACACTCCCTCACCCTACCCTTCACATGGACGAATTTCCCAACCCAAAGACAGCCCATTTCCCCACCTTGAACTCCATTTAGCCTTGATCAATGAGGACAACCTATGGGATCCATCAAATAGACATTATGCACTTGAATTGTAGGAAAGAGTGGTGTAGTTTCCTTGCTGTTTTTCCCTATATATTTCGGCCCTACGGCCTTGTAAAATTCATTCATTGTATTTCATTTCCTTACTCTTTGAAGTAATATTTGAGTTGGTGTGAAGCTAAATCTCTCAATTTCCTAATGAAATATCTCTGAAGTTGGCTACTTTTGAGTGTGTGTTAGGAGTCTATTTCATATAATAATAGTGAATATTATTGTGTGATATGAAACAGCCCCAAATAAAATAAGAGTGTGTTTATCTCTTATTTATTATTTGGTTTATCCTTCTACAATAAAAACCACAAAAGAACTCCCTTTTCTTTCCTAATTTCGTCCATTTCCTTTCTCCCATTTAAACACTTCATTTCTTCATCAAAACCACTCCATAATATTGCTTTTCTCCTGCCCTTTATTCTGCCCTATCACCTCTTCCAAACAACCATATTTTCTTCACCATTTCATACACAAATCCAACCTATTCTTAACCATATATTCCTCTCTATAATCTTCCCTTATTTGTCCATAGCTTTTCCTAAGCTTGGGTACATCATTTGGTATCAAAGCTAGTTGTTACTCATCTCTCAAGGACCATACACACTTCCCCAACTCCCTCCCTGAATTTGGCCTAACCACATTCAATCCGTACTCCCACTTCATCCCTTTTCCTATCAAACATGTCAAACCAATCCCAAAGCATGTCTCATGAAGAACTCGTAGCCGCAAATGCTGCCTTGCAAGCTCAGGTGGAATACCTAGCCAAAGAAGTGGCTAAGCTCACGAAGCAAAAGATGTCCCTGTTGCGAGATAGTGAAGATGAAGAGGAAGCTAGCTCTAGTGCCACCATGAGAGCTAGGGCTCGTGAAAAGTCCCATTCTGAATTCAAAGCTGATATTCCAATCTTTGAAGGAAAGAATGATCCGGATGAATTTCTTGAGTGGTTAGAAACGGTAGAACGAGTCTTTGATTTCAAAGAAATCTCTGATGAGAAGAAGTGAGAAACCCTCCATTGATTCTTGGCAAAAGATGAGGAGTCTTTTGAAGAAGTTCCTTGTAACGCCCCAAAATATGGTCTAAAAGTTATATTATTTTATAATAAAAGTATTTTAGAAATAATATTTTGACTCAACAAAAATATTATTTCTATGTTTGACCAAAAACGAAGGAATTTTTGGAGTCAATGATTTTTGTTAAGATTGACTTTTATGGATAGGTCTCGAAGAGACGAATCCAACGGTTTATTTTATGAGTAAATCTGATGTACAGAGGTTCAGTTATGACATTTTAAATATGTAATTTGTATAAAAATGAGAAAAAGTCAAAGAAGTGAACTTTTGTAAAATGACTTATTGAATTAAATATTTATATTTAGTAATATTGGTTGAATATGAGACTAATTTTAATTACATATCAATTAATTCAATTTTGACTCTATCAAAGTAAACACCCAAAAATAAGCTGTCAGAAAAAGTATTTCAAATAAATATAAAAATTATATCATTAAATAGAGTTTGACTGTCTGATCGCAA